AATGGTTGAGGTTGAGTATGATATGAAGAATTATTGGTTAAGGATGAGTATGRTATGAAGAATTATTGGCTGAGGTTTAGTATGATATCAAGAATTATTGGTTGAGGTGTACATATATGTATGACATGAGAATTTATTACATGAGGATGTACATGTATGTGTATAAAACTTGTGTTTCATTTTTTACATATTTCAGGGGTCTTTTGCCATCAGAAGAAAGACAGGACTTCAAACAAAAACAAAACAAGGAAAACAACAATGTCTGTAATATCTCTGTGAATGACAAGGTTCAGCTTCGTAAACATCTACCTGGATTTCCTGGAGCTCTGGTATTCAAGTCATCTGAAACATTTGGTCCTCAGCTTGGTCGGCTTCTATCACATGAAACAGATGGTACCACACAAAAACCGGTGAAGATTAAAGTTGAAAAAATAGTATCCAAATACGGTAAGTTTATAAATTCTATAATAGATCTAGCMTGAATTCAAAAATCAAGAAATGCTGTAAAGGATAAATTTAACACCGTAAGAAAAGTATGTGAAATAACTTACTTGTTCTTGTTAAGTTTGAGACTATAATACTTAACCAAGAATGTATGATTTGGGGGAYGCTGCTCAAGAGCTTCATACATTCTTTTTAATGTTTTCTAGTTTTGAACGMTTGCAAATCTGTTATTATTATTMGAATATGCACAAACTGTTTTGATTGCTTCAAAGTGTATCGGGTTTGTGAGTAGTCACCAGTCCCTGTTTGAATTTTGAAATGGCCATTGTWCTTAACARTAGAGTTAATTTCGTATGAGTGGGAAACGTACGGTAGAAATTWCCGCACGGTTACCRCACAGTTACCGGAMCTGGCCTGYACAATTTTTGTGAASCAATGAGACACTAGAATKTGGTTACAGTACGATTACGGTTACWGTACAGTACCGTCCRTTTCCCACWCATACGAAATTGACTCTAAGTAATTTTGACATTACCAGATTCTAAAGCAAGCTCAAGATCAAACTCTCCCATCGTCAGTACTCCATCTAGAATTGAGGCAGTTYTTGCCAGAGGATCGGCATCACCAATGCATACCATTGCTCAGGAARCAAGATCGGGCAGTCCACATACCAACATCAAGAACCTGGACGCACCATCTCGTAGCAATCCAAATATTGAAGTGTGGGATGTCAACGATGTTGTGTTTCTTGAGAGTGAAAGCAAAATTCTTGGGACAGTTGCAGCCATTGATGGGCCTCATGTCATAGTAAAGGTACCCGACAAATCCTAGTATTTTATTTTATATGGTAGAATATATTAAACACTATTGGTTGAGGCTCAGTTTAATATGAAGAATTATTGGACAAGGTTTTGTATGATATAAAAAGTTATTGGATGAGTTTGTGTATGATATGAAGAATTATTGGTTATGGTATCATGGCTCAGTATGATATGAGGAATTATTGGATAAGGCAGTGAATGATATGAAAAATTATAGAATGAGTTTGTGTATGATATGAAGAATTATTGATTATGGCTGAGTGCATGTATTATGTTTGAAGTTGAGAGACGTATAGAGGATTGTGTAGGCAAAATAGCTGAGATGTTGAATTGTACTGTGGTTGCCAAGGAATCCTTTTTGTAATTTCTGATAGCAAGATATCAATCATTAGATTACACTTTGATAAACAATAATAATTATTGCTTTTAGGTTGATAGTTCCAACATTACCAGTGACACTTCTCTAAGAGTTTTCAAAGTATCAGAACTAGAGTCTGTCTCWGATGAGAACRGTACCTCTCACGGTGCTTCRACATCAACTATTGCTCCCATCACCACAATGTACMGAGGGTGTATCCAAAACGCACCCAAGTGYATCCTCGACGGTACTCGATCATCAAGCGCTGCTGATAAGGAGGTGTTAACAGGAGTTAAYCCTGTAGCCATGGCAGCAACATCGGCAGGGATATCTGCCCTTGTGGAGCACCATGATACTAGACGTGCTATCTTTATTGGACCAGTTGTKGACTCAACCAATAGTGATAAAGTGTTTACATGCTGCGAAGACATGACAACAACACGAGGCAGTGATGAGGGCTGCACAACTGTCGACTGCGAGAGTATTTCTAGCAAAGARGGGGGATTGGATTTAGTGTCTGTGTGTCCAGACACTGCAAAAATAGGACAGAAACGAAAACATCCAGTCAGTAACGATGGAGTATCTCCCAGTGATCAATATCAAGRAAATAGTATAAGACTTTCAAGGGTGAAAACACAAGACGCACGGACACCTTCTTTGCACAAGTCCACTGGTTCTAATGTCATTCTATTGTGTGATAACAATGGGTGTCTTTATCCAAGGCCGTTTGGTACTAAGTTRTCTGAACCATGTGCTGTGGAACTGCCTCCTCTTCATTGTCTCGGCCTTGGYCCTCGTCTTGGTTTTACAAGCAAATGTGATACYGAAGAAAAAATTCTAGCTGTCTTTTTGGGTTTGTTTATTCATTTTTATTCTTTGAATAGAGCAAACACAGGAAAACCATGAAATAAAATCTAACACTAGCAAATAGCGGCTATTTACTAATAGAGGCAATTTGTCAGCATCAATGAACCAGAACGCAATCAAGATGAATTAAAAATGGTCCCATGTGGATTCATCTTGATTGCATCCTGGTTCGTTCAAATTGCCTCGAAATAGTTGTATTTTGTTAGTATTTAGTTTGATTATATTTCATGGTTTTCCTGCGTTTGCGCTACTATGAGGATTTTTCTACAAAATTAGTACTTAGTTTGTGGTTATAATTATTTTTAGATGGCTGATGAAAGCTTGTCTTTTACTAAAAAAATTATTGCATTAATTGTGCTACTCAGACCATTCTATCCGCTTTTAATTTTGTGTTTTTTCCTTTATCTTTATTTACAGCTTTCAAAGAACAAAGGTTAATAGCAGCCATCCAGTCTGGTATATTATCCAACGTGACTGACTTACTAAAGGAATTGGAAGCCATCCATACAAACAGCTATAAAGGGAAGTCAGCTCTTAATGGCAGCAAGAAAGTAGCTTATGATGGAGAAAACAGCCAGCCTTTACCTTATTCACAACCACAAGATGAGGTAATACACTGTAATGTATTGTTTGCTCTCAAAGTGCAAAGCAAAGCAAAGCAAAGCAAAACACAAAGAAGCAAAGCAAAGCACAGAGAAGCGAAGCGCTGCAAAGCAAAGCAAAGCAAAGTTAAAGCAAAGCAAGGCAAAGCAAAGCAAGGCAAAGCAAAGGAAAGCAATACAAAGCAAGGCAAAGCAAAGCAAAGCAAAGCAAAGCAAAGCACAGAGAAGCAAAGCACAGAGAAGCAAAGCGCTGCAAAGCAAAGCAAAGCAAAGCAAGAAAGCAAAGTTGAAGCAAAGCAATGCAATGCAAAGCTTTGACAGTTGCTGTTTTCTTGAAACTTAGATTTACATATGATAATTTTGATGATATAAGGATAATAGGAATAATGTACAAAATGTAGTCAGTTATTTTGGGTTTATTTCAAACATTTTGCCAGTGCAGCTCTTTTGATAAGTGATTACCTGGTACATATAACAGCAAGGACCATAGAATGTAAATTTAGTCTTGACTGATGAAATAACCACATTGGAATTGGTCAGTACTCACATTTATCTTCAATCACTTTTTCCAGGAAYCCAAGCAGGCAGTACCATCATTCAGCCAGGAAATCCTSACCATTATCAAYGAACACACCAGCTCTAACCAGAATGCACTCCATGTAGCCTGCACAAACCCTGCTTATCTCATGACGGCAGAACAAGCTAAAAAACCTTTAGAGACTTTACTGGAAWGTCTAGACAATTCAGGTATAGTGTATCTAATATTGGCTTTGTTAATAGACTCCTTCCTGGTCAATGATGAKAATGAGCAAGGACCAMWCTCAAAGAAGATGTCTAGGGAAACAACCCATTACGCCGCTGCCTGGCACCCTTCACACTTATCATGAATGTAAATGCTAAATTYGTTTGGTTATTTTTTAGGTGACAGTACAAAGAATCCTGACGATGCCATACAAGATTGTGTTGAAGTATCTATTATAGATAAACTTCTCCATAGCCAAGTGTTTGCTGGCAAGTTTGTCCCAATGGTATGTRCTGTACATGTTTTTCATAATAAGTTGCTCTCTTTCCTCTTATTGTCCCCCCTTTCTTATCTATCCTTTTTTCCTTTGAATCAATACAGTACCTTATGTTGTTCAGACGTCTTGTCTTATCCTTGTCATATTATGCTTTGTTTCTTCTCTTTTTTCTGCTTTTTTTCCTTCTCATTTTTCTTTAGTTGTCTCTTCTTATTTTCCATTTTCCCTTCAGTATTCTTTTCTCTCTTTTCTCCTTTCACTTCTCTCCCCTTCTCATCTCATCTCTCTTGTTTTCCCTTCTCTTGTTATCCCTTCTATTCTCTGTTCCTCTCATCCCACCATTTTCCTTTCCCATCTTAGCAAACATGGGTTCTGTTTCAGTCTTCAACCTCATGATCATCAATAGATTTGTAGAAATTGCTTTTTTATATTTATAATGTTTCTATCAGTTTTTTTAAGGAGAAAGTTTAAGTAAAATAGATGAATAAATAAATGATGGTATTTATTTGTCCTCAGCTTATGGAACGTGATGCGAAAGGCTGTACACCATTCATGCTCTCTATACAGTCTCATAACTTCAAGGGAGCCTTGTACATCTTGAATTATGTCATCCAGCACGAAGGTCAGTGAGGTTTAGATTCAATATAGAGCGGATTTCGTATGAGTGGGAAACGGACGATACTGTACTGTGACCGTAATCATACTGTAACCAAATTCTAGTGCCCCATTGATTCACGAAAATTGTGCAGGCCCGGTCCGGTAACTGTGCGGTAACCGTGCGGTAACGGTGTCCCACTCATAGAGCGGATTTCGTATGAGTGGGACACCGTTACCGCATGGTTACCGCACAGTTACCGCACCTGGCCTGCACAATTTTGGTGAACCAATGGGGCACTAGAATTTGGTTACAGTACGATTACGGTCACAGTACAGTACCGTCCGTTTCCCACTCATACGAAATTCGCTCTACGAAATCCGCTCTATTTGGCTGTAAACGATTAGTGAGGCAAATATCAGGGTTCGAGCTGCTCCATGCAATTCTTGAAAAGTCCTGGAATTGAAAACTCGTTTTCAAGTGCGCTTGAAAAAACCCTTGAAAATGGGAAAATCGCTAAAACTCCTGGGAAACTCATTGAATCTGATGAAATTAACATGTTGCTTTTTGCTATTTGGATTGAAGTGTGGCTATTTTTAAAAATCGTCACTGGAAACATTCGCACACATCATTAAATGCATATGTAGCCTCTAAAATAGTCCTTGAAAATCACATTTTTGTGCTTAAAAGTACTTGAAAAGTCCTTTCATTTTGTAGTGAAAACTTTGCACGAACCCTGAAATATGTTTAGCAAAAATTTTGGTTTGGCTGCATGCAGGCTATTAAAATGGTTATTACTATAATTACTTCATTATGTTTCTTGTTCTTACAATATCACTTTTCATTAATTCCTAGGAAAATACTACGGCGATTGCAAAATCTCTATGGAAACTATGATTTTTCCATCAACCTTCAGCAACATCACGCCATTACATGCCCTAGCTATYGCATGTACCTCAAACCTCCCTGCCAGTGGACTGGGGAAYAGYCTCACTGTGTCAAATCTCCCCTCTGGGTACACCCCTAGAATTCTGTTGAAGCTATTCCAGGCTAATTATCCATCAGCGTATCGAGCTACCATCCCTCCTATGGTAGAGGCTAAAAAGGTGACTTGATCGAAGAGTTATAGTTAAAAATATTAATTTTTCTGACCAAGTTTTGATGTATTCAATAAATGATTTGATTTGATTTTCATTTGTATTCACAGTTACAATCTGTAAAGTAAATTTTATGTACATTCTGTTGCTCAACCAAACATTGTAAATATCGTGTAAAATCAATTTACAAAGTTTGTACTAAAAGGAATCCATATTGTCTGCAAATTAAATGATTTACAGTAAATTTACAGAGTGACTTTGTAAATTGTTCAACTTAGTGCAATTCAAGTCATCCCTGCATCAATTCTTCTATATTTTATTGCTTGTAGCCATCCATCCTTTCATTCAACCATCCATCCATTTATTTACTTATTTCATTCACAATTTCCACTTCTATTTAGTATCCAAGAGCTAAGACTCCTAGACAGCGAATMTTAGAACTCGCACACAAAGAAAAGGGCACTGCCACTTTAAAACCCACTGAAGCCAAAAAGACAACACTCGCACCAGCTTCAACATCAGCGCAGCCCGGGCTATCATCAACTCGTCCTGGTCGCYTGTCTGAGGGAGGAAACAGGATTCCTATTGTAGGGAGTCGGAGGGAATCCATACAAGGTAGGTTACGAAAAATTTTAATGATGTTAGAAATATACAGAAAAAATTCATTTTTCCCCGAGGTGGTCGCTTACGAGAGAGTTGACTGTATTTAATAATAATACAGTCGACTCTCTCGTAAGCGACCACCTCGAGATCAGGGCAAAGTGGTCGCTTACCTGAGATGGCCGATTACGGGAGTGGTCGTTTAAAGAGAGTCAACTGGTCGTAATGATTATAGAAAGTGTTAATACTGAAGGACTACAGTTAATACAGTCGACTCTCTCGTAAGCGACCACCTCCAGATCAGGGAAAAGTGGTCGCTTACGGGAGATGGCCGATTACGGGAGTGGTAGTTTAAAGAGAGTCAACTGGTCGTAATGATTATAGAAAGTGTTAATACTGAAGGACTACAATTTGTCGCTTACGGGAGATGGCCGATTACGGGAGTGGTAGTTTAAAGAGAGTCAACTGGTCGTAATGATTATAGAAAGTGTTAATACTGAAGGACTACAATTTTTAGGTATGGTTACATTTTCTGACACTAAGGAGCTTCGTCAAGCTCTCATTGAGATGGACAAACATATGGTTTCCAGCGAAACACTGGCACCTGAAGGAGGACTGGCGAACTTGGTGCAACATGTATTGCACGTCAAACTGACAGAGGTAAGCAATAACCACAAGATGGACAAACATATGGTTTCCAGCGAAAC